GAGAATGAAAAATTTAAGGATTTTTTGGTTTTCGTTTATGGTCGTACAAGCTAACAATAGTAATAAAAAGGCACAAAGTTTATCGTTTATCTTCGTACAAATAAACAGTAATGAGAATGAAAATTTAGGGATCTTTTTGTTTTCGATTTTCGCACTGTGTAACTTTTCTGCAGAAGGGTCCGTGCAGGTGTTCGTTACGGGTCAGATCTGTGGAGAATGTTTGTTTTTCCAGGTGTTTTTGAGACAAAAAAAAAAAAAAAACACCTGCGATTGAATCAATGTAAAGTCACACTGCGGAACATTCCGGGCAGAGAACTGACATCTCCATGGAAACAAGCGGCAAACCAAAAAGTTACACAGTGCAGCTTTAAGTGGAAGTTTGTAGAAAAAAAAAAGTTTAAAAGTTAAAGAAAACTTAAAAAAAAAAAAATTAAATTAAAATATAGAAAGTAGTGTGGAATTGTTAAACCTGGTTCAGTCCTGGTTCAGTCCTGGTTTAGTCCTGGTTTAGTCCTAGTTTAGTCCTGGTTTAGTTCCGGTGAGGTTGTTTGTTCTGGTGGTGGAGTTTGAGTTTGTTTGAGGAAAGACAAGTTCCAAATGTTTAAAAAAGACCTGTTTTTTTTTTTCCTGGTCTAGTCCTGGTCTAGTCCTGGTCTAGTCCTGGTCTAGTCCTGGTTCAGTCCTGTTTGTTTTGCAGGTCCAGACTGTCACGTTCTGGACTCTGGACGTCACGGTGCTCAGAGCGAAAACCACGAGGAAAATGGACTTTTGTGAGAAACTCTGACACACACGAAGAGGGGACTTGACACACAAAGAGGGGACCTGACACACACGAAGAGGGGACCTGACACACACGAAGAGGGCACCTGACACACACACGAAGAGGGGACCTGACACACACGAAGAGGGCACCTGACACACAACGAAGAGGGGACCTGACACACACGAAGAGGGGACCTGACACACACGAAGAGGGGACTGACACACACGAAGAGGGGACCTGACACACACGAAGAGGGGACCTGACACACACGAAGAGGGCACCTGACACACACGAAGAGGGGACCTGACACACACGAAGAGGGGACCTGACACACACGAAGAGGGGACCTGACACACACGAAGAGGGGACCTGACACACACAAGAGGGCACTGACACACACGAAGAGGGCACCTGACACACACGAAGAGGGCACCTGACACACAAAGAGGGGACCTGACACACACGAAGAGGGCACCTGACACACACGAAGAGGGGACCTGACACACACGAAGAGGGCACCTGACACACAAAGAGGGGACCTGACACACACGAAGAGGGGACCTGACACCACACGAAGGGGGACCTGACACACACGAACTGACACACACGAAGAGGGGACTGACACACACGACACACGAGAGGGACCTGACACACACGAAGAGGGCACCTGACACACACGAAGAGGGCACCTGACACACACGAAGAGGGGAGCTGACACACACGAAGAGGGGACCTGACACACACGGGGAGGGGACCTGACACACAAAGAGGGGACCTGACACACACGAAGACGACACCTGAAACACACGGGGAGGGCACCTGACACACACGAGGAGGGCACCTGACACACACGAGGAGGGCACCTGACACACATGGGGAGGGCACCTGACACACACGGGGAGGGCACCTGACACACACGAAAGAGGGCACCTGACACACACGGGGAGGGCACCTGACACACATGAAAGGGCACCTGACACACACGGGGGGGGCACCTGACACACATGAAGAGGGCACCTAACACACATGGGGGGGGCACCTGACACACACGGGGAGGGCACCTGACACACACGGGAGGGCACCTGACACACACGGGGGCACCTGACACACACGGGGCACCTGACACACACACATGGGAGGGCACCTGACACACATGAAAGGGGCACACACACACGGGGAGGGCACCTGACACACACATGACAGACACAGGGGAGGGCACCTGACACACACGGTGGACACCTGAGGCACCTGACACACATGACACCTGCACGGGGGGGGCACCTGGGGGAGGGCACCTGACACACATGGGGAGGGCACCTGACACACATGGGGAGGGCACCTGACAGGACCAGAGATCAGATCAAACACCAGACTCAAGACCAGACTAGACCAGACACCAGACACCAGTTCTCCAGTGTTTGTTCCTTGCTTTAGTCCTGGTTCAGTCCTGGTTCAGTCCTGGTTCAGTCCTGGTTCAGTCCTGGTTCAGTTCCGGGTCTTGAGTCCGGTCTCTGGGTCTTCAGTGTCCCAGTCGGATCTGTACGTGACCCTGACGTTGCCGACGGCGACGGCGGCGACGAGAAGAACCAGAACCATCAACAACAACAACAACCCAGAGTGGAACGAGAAGTTCAGGTTCAGAGTCCCAGACCAGACCAAAGTGAGTCCAGACCAGAGACCAGGACCACAGACCAGAGACCAGACCAGACCAGAGACCGGACCACAGACCAGAGACCAGACCAGACCAGACCAGACCAGAGACCAGAGACCAGACCAGAGACCAGACCAGACCAGAGACCAGACCAGACCAGACCAGACCAGACCAGACCAGACCAGACCAGAGACCAGACCAGACCACAGACCAGAGACCAGACCAGACCAGAGACCGGACCACAGACCAGAGACCAGACCAGAGACCAGACCAGACCAGACCACAGACCAGAGACCAGACCACAGACCGGACCAGAGACCAGAAACCAGACCAGAGACTAGACCAGACCAGACCAGAGACCGGACCACAGACCAGTCCAGAGTCCTGGTTCAGTCCTGATTCAGTCCTGGTTTAGTCCTGGTTCAGTCCTGGTTCAGTCCTGGTTCAGTCCTGGTTCAGTCCTGGTTCAGTCCTGGTTCAGTTCTCTCTTGTTCCTGCAGAACGTTCTGGAGATCCGTCTGTTTGATGAGGACCTGGTGTCTGCAGATGACCTGATGTCCAGCGTCCTGTTGGACCTGGAGACTCTGGAGCTGGACTCGCCGCTCCACAGATCCTTCAGCCTGGGCCCAGAGGTCAGAGGTCGGAATGTCTCCCCCTGCCCCAGAGCCCCGCCCACTCCCCTGCCCCAGAGCCCCGCCCACTCCTCAGCCCCAGAGCCCGCCCACTCCCTCAGCCCAGAACCCGCCCACTCCTCAGCCCAGAGCCCCGCCCACTCCCCTCCCCAGAACCCCGCCCACTCCTCAGCCCCAGAGCCCCGCCACTCCCCTGCCCCAGAGCCCCGCCCACTCCTCAGCCCCAGAGCCCCGCCCACTCCTCAGCCCCAGCCCCAGCCCCGCCCACTCCCCTGCCCCAGAGTCCCGCCCACTCCTCAGCCCCGCCCACTCTCAGCCCAGAGCCCCGCCCACTCCTCAGCCCCAGAACCCCGCCCACTCCTCAGCCCCAGAGCCCCGCCCACTCCTCAGCCCCAGAGAGCCCCGCCCACTCCCAGCCCCAGAGCCCCGCCCACTCCTCAGCCCCAGACTCCAGGATGTGAACAGGGCCCAGAAGCTCTGGCTCAAATCAACTTCTATTGAAAAAGTCTCTCCTCAGTGGACACGTTCACATGATGATTTTTTTATTCTAAATTAATTATTCTGAATGAAAAAATTTCAGAATTTAAATATTCTCCTTCGAGTTTAAGTGGAAATAATAATTCTGAATTTAGTTTTACATGGAAAACTCGGAAATCGTTTTTATTTTAGGCCAGTTCACCCAAGTCACACACAGACCCATACACACACACAGACCCGTACACACACACAGACCCGTACACACACACACAGACCCGTACACACACACACAGACCCGTACACACACACACACAGACCTGTACACACACAGACCCGTACACACACACACAGACCCTTACACACACACAGACCCGTAACACACACACACGTACACACACACAGACCGTACACACACAGAGACCCGTACACACACACACACAGACCCGTACACACACACACAGACCCGTACACACACACAGACCCATACACACACACACAGACCCTTACACACACACAGACCCGTACACACACACAGACCTGTACACACACACACAACACACAGAGACCCGTACACACACACACACACACACGACACACGTACACACACACACAGACCCGTACACACACACACAGACCCGTACACACACACACACACGACCCGTACACACACACACACAGACCCGTACACACACACAGACCGTACACACACACAGACCCGTACACACACACACAGACCCATACACATAGACCGTACACACACACACACAGACCCATACACACACACAGAGACCCGTACACACACACACACAGATCCGTACACACACACACACATAGACCCGTACACACACACACAGACCTGTACACACACACACACAGACCCATACACACACACAGACCTGTACACACAGAGAGACTCGTACACACACTCAGACCTCTACACACACACAGACCCATACACACACACAGAGAGATCCATACACACACACAGACCTGTACACACAGAGAGACTCGTACACACACTCAGACCTCTACACACACACAGATCCATACACATACACAGAGACCCGTACCCAGACACACTAGACCTGTACACACACACAGAGACCCATACACACACACATAGATCTGTACACATGCACAGGCCTGTACACACACAGACACACACACACAGCCATACACACACACACAGAGATTTGTACACACGCATAGACCTGTACACACACACACACACAGAGACCCGTACACACACACACGCACAGACCCACACACACAGACCCGTACACACACAGAGTACACACACACACAGAACCGTACACACACAGACCCGAGACCACACACACACACACATACACACACCGCATACACACACACTACACACACAGAGAGACCCGTTTTTCCTCACACAATGTGGAATACTTCTGAAACATTTGAACGCTCTGTGGTTGTGTTTGTGTGACAGACCGACGAGGTGCTGGAGATGGACTTCGAGCTGCGGAACAGGTGAGGCCACTGCGTGATGTCATCAGGTGGCGCTGTTCCGTCCCCCCGATCGCTCGTCCCGTCGCCTCGCAGCTCCAGCCCCGCTCGACTTTTGGAATTCTCCAGCTAATTTGAAAGAGTCTCTGTGTACAGTTTTGTGTTTTTAGGTCACGTGGGGGACGTCGGCGTGTGGGCGGAGCCTCGTACAGACTCTTACAGCGAACCGTAAGGAGGGTTTGATTAGGGCCTGGGAGAGATCGCTAGATTACTCAAACACGGAAGGGTGACATTAAAAGCTCTCCAGGCAGGGTTTTGAAGATGGGAGAAAGATTTTTAAAAACGAATTTCACAGAATATCTTTTCTCGTACAAGTTGTAAAAACTAGGAGTGGACTTGATTAAAGAAATTAATCTGATTAATTACAGGCTTTGTAATTAATTAATCTCAACACACACATCCTGAATTTCCGACTTCCGGTCATCGCACAATCCATTCTGAGAAAGATCCTCAGAAAAAATGATCGTCAAATCTCCATGTTTGTTTTCCCAGTGGGACGTGTCTATTGTCAAAGTCGATCTTTTCAAGTCTTTTGAACCATTTCACTTTTGTTTCTGGTTCTGATATTGTCATATTTTAGCTCTGGGATTTGGACGTCGTAATATCTGGGTTTCACGTGACGTCACAGGACGACGTTTGTCAGCGCGCAAAATCAGACGGAGGGCAGGAAGTGAACCGACTGGAGGAAAATGCCGACGTGTTGTGTAGTTTACGGCTGTGCCAATCGTTCTAACCGAGAGAAGGAAAAGCCTTTTTTTTTTAGAGAACCGAATATTGTCGTCCACAAAGGTGAGAAATGGGAAAAGCCGACAGAACAACGCCATAAAAAGTGGATTACAAACCTGTTTCGAGGAGCAGAATTCACTAATGCTCGTGTCTGCGGTGAACACGTCGTCAAAGGTTTGTTACAAAGATAAATAGTTTTTTGTGGTTTACCTAAACATAAACGAATCATTAATGACTAACGGCGAACAACGATTGTTGACATTAAATAGTTCAGATAAATCGGTCACTGCCGATACACTGCAGTTTTTCCCGTAACGTCTATACACATAAAATAAGAGAAACACTCACCCCGGCCAAGACCAAACCATCATCATCATTTAGGCGTTTTGCACCGAGGTTGAGGATCCATCCACTGACAAAAAAAGTTCTATACCTCCAGACTTTTGTACTTTGCCTTCATCTGTTGTCTGGTGTAGAACGACGTCTGAAGAGCTAAATAGTTCATGATCTCCTCTGCCTCGATTGTCGGCAAATCTTTTACTTCGGTTGAAAATTCTCTCATTTTCAATAAGATCAGGGTCACGCCCGATATATTTGTCGACTAACTGCTCGTACTTTTGCCTCTCTTTTGCCTTTGGCTCTAAATCCTGACAATAAGAACTCTTCTCCATATCTGTGTTCTCCAGAGCCGCGTTTGTTTGTAGTGTTTGTCTTCACTTCCTGCCCTCCACCTGAAATTCGCGCGTCATCGTGATCACGTGACTGAAACCCTCCTGTTGTGTGGTTGTTGGATCCTAACAGCAGAAAATGGCTTGAGAAATGTGTTTGTGAACTTCATAAATGCAAAACTGAATCAGAAGTGTGTGACTCAAACCTCCGTTCAAACTGTTTCTCTTCCCAACGGAATTGAAAAATAGTCAAAGGTGAAGGTGATGGGCAGGATTGATCCAAAAAGGAAACATTTGTCTGACTAAATCATCCCGAGTTTACAGAGAACATTTTGTATGTGGAGCGACGACAAAACAAAATCCCGATTCCTCGCTCAACCTCGGTTACGAATTTAAAAAGTCAACGCCAAAGTGAAAGTCTCCAACTGTTCACCAAGAAACACCTTCCACTGCAAAGAGACCAAGACGTGATGTTTCTGTAAAACCACAAGAACAAGAAAGTGCAGCTCAGTCTGTTTGTCTTCTGCTCCTCTCCATTAACAAACAGGATTTTGTTTTGTCGTCGCTCCACATACAAAATGTTCTCTGTAAACTCAGGATGATTTCTTAAGGGCCGTTCACACCAAAGCGTCAAAAAACGCCTTGACGTTTCTGTTCGGACGCCTTTGCATTTGAGTTCAGACGCCCCCAACGCTCGCGTCTTTGACGCCGCGGACAAACGGGAGAAAAATACTTGATGCGCGTCCGTTGCCCTGGAAACAAGAACCCGGTCCAGATCTTTTCCTGAAACAATGTCAGACCAGACTGAGAGACTTTAGAGTTTTTATGACATAAAACTTCAGCGGAGGAGATCGGGTCGACAACTGGGGCGTGTTTATATTTATACTCCACACTGGATCAGTTCTGGTTTAGTCCTCGGTGATTGTGGTGTATTTATTCTTCGCTCATGCTTGTGGCTCTCGCTCTGTTTCTCGGGTTTTTCTTCGTGATAATAACGTCGCTGCGTCTCTGGATACTCGACGCGAAAAGTTCAGCATTTTCAACTTCTTGACGCTGACGCCTTGGATGCGCGTCTAGAGCGTTGATGCCAAAACGCTCAAGACGCGCTGCGTTGACGCCAGATTCGAGCCGCGCTGACGCCGAAGACGCGCCACAAAAACGCAGGACGCTCTAGTCGCGCGTCCACATCGACTTTACATAGAAACTGGACGCTTCCTGTGTCCGGTTCTTCCTGTGGATCAATCCTGCCCATCACCTTCACCTTCCACTATTTTTCAGTTCCGTTGGGAAGAGAAACAGTTTGAACGGTTTGAGTCACACACATCTGATTCACTTTTGCATTTATGGAGTTCGCAAACTTTCGAAGCTTGTTTTCTGCTGTAAAGGGCCGTTCAGACCAGAGCGTCAAAGCGTCCAGTTTCTATATAAAGTCTCTGGACGCGTGACTAGAGCGTCCTGCGTTTTTGCGGCGAGTCTTGAGCGTTTTGGCGTCGACGCTCTAGACGCACGTCCAAGGCGTCAGCGTCAAGAAGTTGAAAATGCTGAACTTTTCGCGTCGAGTATCCAGAGACGCAGCGAAGAAAAACCCGAAGATTTCGTGATGTCGATATTAGCACGGACAGAGCGCGCAAACGTTCCGCGTTGTGACAAACTGCGATAAATTTAATATTATTAATATAATTTAATATTTATACTGCATTATTTTCTTTGTAATTAATTAATTAATGTCCCACTTGTAGTAAAAACGCATTGTTTCCTTGTTGCAGTAAAGACAAACCTCAGGAGTACTTCACCAACGGGATCCTGATGGTGAGAGCTTCTACCACTCGCCTCACACTTCCACCACGAACATAACCAGAATAAAAAGACTCATTGTTCCACAGGCAGCTCCTCTGACCGTCATGGACGTCCGGGTGAAGAACCTGACCGACAAAAACGGTGAGTAACGCAGGAGCGGACGGGAGCGGAGCCAGAGGTCGTCAGATGGTTTCGCACCGGACCCTCCTGAGCTCCTCCTGGTTCCTCACAGGGCCCCTGAGAAACTCTCTGGTGCTGAAGCTGCCCGGCGCCTACGAGAGGAGCCACCCGCTGAAGGAGAAGGAGTGGCTGCAGTTCCACGTGAACCAGGAGCTGGAGACGGAGCTGGGCCTCGCCGTGAGTACCCTCCAGGAAAGATCTCCTGACCTGGACCACACCAGACACTTAGGGCTACGTTCAGACTGCAGGTTTAACGCTCAATTCCGATTTTTTTGTGAAATCCGATGTTTTTTCGAGGTCGTTCACATTTCCAGTTAAATGTGACTTGTGTGTGACTCCAGTGTGAACATTAAACGGTCCAAAAGTGTCCCACATGTGACACTGGAGACACGACGACGTCAACCGCAGCGAGCGTCTCTGTGTTTACACAAGTTGAACAAACATGGACGCAGCATCGAGCACCTGGAGATTTTAAAGTTCCTCTCGTACCGGAGCCACAACATGAACAACTGACTTGTTTTAAGGAGGAGATTGAGAAGGAGAAGGACCAGGTTTTTGGTGGTGGTGTTTTGTGGTGAGTGGAGATGTGCTTCACTTCAGTCACATGGATCATGAACAGTTTTCTCTACTTCAGTGCAGAATAGTGACGTTTGTGTCTTGTTGATGACGTGTAGGTGGATGAATGTGACCTGACTGTTCACACTCAAGTCACATGTTAAAGATCAGATATGGATCAGTTTCAGGAGCACAGATCCAAGTGTCCTGGGTCATGTTTGAAAAAGTCAGATCTGTGTGGTTCAGACGTCATTAAAAGATCAGATACAGGAACATAGAGACAAAAAATCAGATTTGGGTCACTTCAGGTGCATCTGAACGCAGCCTAAATGTTCACCTTGTTGCTGTGGGCACCTGCATTACGACATGTCTCTGTTTCGAGGTGCAGGTTTTCTCACACTTTTTAGATTTTTCTTTTTCGTGTCTTCAAACGTATCAAAATCGAATCGATATTGTGAGCCGTGTGTCGTGAAATTGACTGAATCTTGGGAAAACTGGATCGTTGCGTCACTAGTTGCTCTGATACTCGGATACTTTGATCCTCACAGTCGGATACTCAGCTCCAAATTCAATGAGCTTCATTTGACTGGAGCCGAGCGCGGTGGGTCACACTCCCTCAGTCCTCGTCTTTACGGTCTGAGGTCCGGCTCAGTTCTCGGTCTGAGGTCCGGCTCAGTTCTCGGTCTGAGGTCCGGCTCAGTCTCGGTCTGAGGTCCGGCTCAGTTCTCGGTCTGCGGTCCGGCTCAGGTCTCGGTCTGAGGTCCGGCTCAGTTCTCGGTCTGAGGTCCAGTCGTCTCGGTCTGAGGTCCGGTCTCAGGTCTCGGGTCCGGCTCAGTTCTCGGTCTGAGGTCCGGCTCAGGTCTCGGTCCTCAGTCCGGCTCAGTTCTCGGTCCAGTTCAGTTCTCGGTCTGAGGTCCGGCTCAGGTCTCGGTCTGCGGTCCGGCTCAGGTCTCGGTCTGCGGTCCGCTCAGGTCTCGTCCAGGTCAGTCCGGCTCAGTTCGGTCCGGCTCAGTTC